CAACTGTCAAGATTAGAGAGTTTAAGTTCGACTTCCGATACCAATGCCGATACTAACAACATGTCATGCGCATGCTCTCTGCTCGCAAGAAGCACGAGGACAAGTGTATTGGATGTCACCACTATCGAAGTCGGCCTTGTATTGGAAGTCGGGGGAATTGTAAGATAAACTCATATAAATCGGATATTTCATAATTTTTACGATAAACATGTAAACTATTTGTTTATTAGCATCGCCTGAGTTATGTTTTGGTCGGAATTTTAGCTCAGCTGCCTTTTAGTATACCGCACATTTTCGGTGACGAATAATGTCTGTATACTTTATCTGTCGTGATAACTTAACGCTTTAAAATTTCCGGTACCAAAATGAGAACGGAAGTGAAAACATCGGTATCGGTATTGGTATTGGAAGTCGAACTTAAACTCTCTACAGGGTGTATCAAAAAAAAGGAGACCTTTAGAAATCAAGCATATTGTTAAAATTTTAATGCCTTTTCAGTTGCACATATGCTGAACCGTAGTGCGCGAAATATTGATGGGGTGCATATATTAGAAAAAGGAGACCTTTAGAAATTGAAATAACGTTTAAACAAAAGATTGTCTGCTCCTGGGAACAATCTGTCATGCATACTGTACGTAGATCGCATGTTACGCACTCGTGGGCTTAGCAAAGTGCTCCAGGATTCAAATTATAACAATGGTTGATTTCTAAAGGTCTCCTTTTTCTAATATTGATGAATATTTCACGCACCACGGTTCAGCATATGTGCAATTGAAAAGGCATTCAAATTTTAACAATATGCTTGATTTCTAAAGGTCTCCTTTTTTTTATACACCCTGTATTACTGCACACGCGACAACATGTAATATGATCTATTAGCAATTCGATTTCAATTCCCAGGGGCCTAAAATCTTTTATGCTTAAGAATTGGTTGGGGTTTTTTTATACACCCTGTACAGGTGAGTAAAAAAATCTGATACCTTTGATATTCAAATTAGCCGCATATAGGTGTCAGTTTTTTTTACTCACCCTGTATAGTGTCTGTGTTTTATTGTTCAGATGGTTTAACACATGTTTAATGGAAGGTTTTCATTTTGAAATGATGGCAAGCCCTTGCCAAATATTTCTATTCTCGTTCAAAACATTACCTTTAACTCACAACTATCGTAATTATATACAGGGTGTCCCAAAAAAACCCAAAAGTGCTTTGAGTGCCCTAACACTAAGCTGAACGCAAAGATGCGTAAAAATTGACATGGTGCATATAGGCCTATTATAAATATTGGCTTATTAAGGCCCCGTTTACACTAAACCGGATTGCTATCGGAGTGGGTCAAATTTTGTAGGTATCGGAAGGCTGTGAAGATTTTTAATCTCGGAGACCCAAATAAACATGCCAATTCCGTCAAACTAATAAGCATTCGCTACTAACTATTGCTCCTTAAAACGGCAAAAGAAGATGTCGTGACGAGCGAATCCGGTATAGTGTAAACAGGGCCTAAGAAATTAAAACATCTTTGTAAAGCGCACGATTTTCAGCTCTATGGAATTTAAAGCAGTTTCTTAAACAGTTTCTTTATGCATAAAATTTACTTATGTCAAGCTTTTATGCACTTGTGGGTTCAGCAGAGTGTTGAGACTTTCAAATTCTAACAATACGTTATTTCAATAGTTTTGGGACACCCTGTTCCAATCCGTTTCCGGATTACGCTTGTTTACGCTGTTGTTCGATCATGTGGCGTGTGGAGATTTCCGAACACAGGCGGCCTAAATTCAGAGTGAATGATCAGGAGTTGCGGGTTTTAAACGGCTTTTATAAACAAATTTTATACTCATCCAAAACTATTCTAAAAACATTCTTAAAATAGTTAAGTAAATACACTTTAACAATAAAATATACTTGACATGATAGTATAATACCTTTGCATTCTTTTAATTACTCCATGAGCTCATGAGCTAGAGCTGTTTATGCAATCTTTTCTTTGGCATATGTTGTGTGTTGCTCGTCATGAGCTGAATTCATATTAGAAGGCGGATTTCCGTCTACGACGGGAATCTCGTCTCAGACGAGAAACTCGTCTTGATATAAATTCGGTTAACGACGGGTTTTCCGTCTCAACTTTTCCGTCTAACTTTCCCGTCTGAACGAGGGGAAAGTTAAACGAGTTTCTCGTCTTAGACCGAAATCCGTCTTAGATCCGTCTTAAATTTATATCAGACAAATAAATCAAGACGGGTTTCTGCTCGTAACGTTCAAAAGAGACTCGGATGGAGGGTGTCCTATTTTTTCGGGTTTATCCGTCCGATGGTTTTCGTTTCATGCTTATACAAGACGGAAATCCGTCACAAGAGTTTCCCGTCTTAGACGGAAATCTGTCTTCTAATATGAATTCAGCAAAAACTGAACAGATTTGAAATTGCTCTTAATTTCGCAAAACAGCTGCTAGTATCCAGTTTTTGATGTATATAGCTTCTTTGGGTACTTATAATGTAGAAAAATGAAAAAAAATTCTTAAACTCAAATTTTGTGAACCAGGGGGATGTGTCTTTTCCAACAAACTAAAACGGCTTGCGCACGAAATTTGGAAGCTTTAATCATATTTTAAGTTAATAGATGGAAAATTTGTTGGGTTCTTAATTACTTTACAAAATTGCAGACAATTTGCTTTAGTTTAAGCCTTCTACAATATATCATATTCTGCATTCTAATTAATGCCTTTGCCTAATTTGCATATGTTAGCAATATGCAAATTATGTAAAGGCAATAATTAAGCATGCGAAAGGCTAATTTTTTAGAGAAAAATTGTCTGAAATTTAGCAACTAAAGCAAATTGTCTGAAATTTTGTACAGTAATTAAAAACCCAACAAATTTTCCATCTATCAATTCAAATTATGATTAAAGCTTTTAAGAGCGAGTGTCCGTAAATCTCGAGAATCGGACGACAAATTGGAAAATTTGAAATTCCATTTATTTTACCTATAGTATCCACTGGGTGAGCTATTTTAAAAAATATAGTTCAAAAGTCGCAGCTCCTCTTATTTTTCGAGAAATTACTAAACATAATTTTGGGGCTTTTAAGTCAATTTTCATCGGTCAAAATACAAGATTTTGAAGCATTCGTGACGGCTACCTTTTAAATGTATTACGGCCGGGTTTTTTA